TGTGATGCCATCATGTCAATATGGACCAAACTCCCTGAGGAATGCTTCCAGCACCTTGTTGAATCTATGCCACGTAGAATTGAGGCAGTTCTGAAGGCAAAAAGGGGTCCAACCCGTTACTAGCATGGGGTACCTAATAAAGTGGCCGGTGAGTGTAAGTTCAATAATTTGCGTGCTTTCCTGTTTCTCCTTGTGTTTTCATCTCCTTCACTGAGACGGTATAGCTTAAAGTTCACTATTATATCTATAGAATTATCATTATCTTGAACTGGTAAGTGAAAAATACAATTAAAAAAAACACATGCAAAAAAATTTTTCCAGGTATAATTTGCATCTTTATTTTTTCTTTCAAAAACAACTAATTTCTTACAGTATTTAACTGACATTTGTGGTTACAACTTTTTCTTGTTTTAGCAGTAAATGTCTGCTCTTTTATTTTTAAATGAAAATGAGGGCTGTGAAGAAAACTAATCACAAACCTGCCCTTTTATAAATATATATGAGGTTAGCAACTACAAGAAATAAAGAAAAACCCTAAATGAATAGCAGGACAATAACAATTCTTCCATAAAAGAAACATTGCAGCAATAACTTTTTGTAACTTAATGCCCTGGAACACACAGAACCTAATTAAATGTCTAGGTGTCTTTCAGCGAACCAACACAGGGAAAATGTTTAAAAAACTGGTGGTGCGACTTGGCCAGTGGTGCTAAAAAAAACTACTTAAAGTTTAAAAGTATAAAGTAATCTTTAAAAAAAAAAACAGCCTGAATTGAAAGCTAAATTTTTCGACTATTTCAAAAAAAAATTTATGATGGGGCCAAGGATGAGGGAGGTCTTGTTGGCACATCCTGGTGACGGTTGGCATATGGTGTCATTTTCTATTTCTTCAAACTGTAAAATCCTTGCAACAAACTAAGTCATAATAAAACTAACTTCTTTAAACCCAACTACGATGTTCCTCTTATATTTAACGAATTTATGTTTGAATATTTTGCAAAAATCTGTTGTGGTGCATGATGGGGTTTTGCATTTGTTTATATCATTCCATTTGCCCTCTTGCCACTTAGACTGGCATTGAATGCTTACACAGCGTTGAGCTTTCATGTATTTATTCTTGAAGAATTGCCTGTCTGCCTCCATGTTTTATTGTTTTATGTTGGTGTTTTTATAACACTCGTGCTTACGTTGTAGACCTAGTATGTGCAAGTGTGGACGTTACGCAGCAGCAGTCACTGTCGCATCCGTGTTAATAACCAAAGCCAGTAAAACTGCATGATAGAAGTCTTGGTGATGGTTATCATGTGATGCTTGAAGATAGATTGGTTAATCCACAATGTGTATTCATATTGTGCTTCACATTTGAGATGCACATGTTTGAGCTTGTGCTTCAAAATGTCAAAGTTCATAAAGGAAAAATTCTGCCTCAGTTCTTATCTAATCATTGCCTGATGTCCTCCTACTGCAACCCCATCAGACCCACGGTATTCTTCTGCTTTGCCCAATCATCGTCTGGGACTCTGCTGTTTAAGCCTCTACTTCCATGTCTGCTTCCAACAACGTGTACCCTTCCACCCCATTTCCATCATATCCTTGTTTTCATCTTGATTCCTTCCTCCTTCGGTCTCCATTCCAGCATCAGGCCCCAAGGAAGATGTACCTATTATAATTCATCTGCTCAAGCATGACATCATAGTTCTCTATGGCTACATCTTCAGCAAGGGCATGAGCACCAAAGTCAATCCTCTTCATGTCATTAAAAATCCCTATTGTCTCCTGTGATTCTTTCCAGGTTGAAATGGCTGAAGGTATTAAAGATGTAAAAGCGGTGTGACAGTGTGGGGTCCTGTCACTCTGACTGATCATGTTGCATATTACCTTTCACCAACTACAGTAGGCGCCTGACCCCTTGCTCACACTGGCTCCAGTGCGGTTACCGAGCCGACGGAGACCGCAACTCCCGCACACCCCCTCTCACACCGCCCTTTTGACTACGGTGCGGTGCGGCTCTGCGGCTCCGGCAACAGGTCCGGAGATTTAACTCATGAGAACAGAAGTTCACTTGAGTTCACGTAACTTCCCGCGATAACACGGCCCAAATAAGGATATTTGCTAGAGCTTGTTGCGGAGGGCTCCGGCATGCCGCAAGGATAGCTTTCTTGCTGAATTTTCTGCAGCGCCGGAGTGTCTCGGTAACCGCAGCCGGACAGCTCAGCAGCCGGTGAGAGAGGTTTACGTCTTTTTAATGACTTGGAATCACTGCGGCGCCGCACCCACCGCACCGCAACGGTAAGACCGGAGTCTGTGTGAGCCGGGGGTGACATTCACCTGGGATTCTGGGGATTGAATCCCACTCCTGCTGTCTGTTGGTGTGTACTTTGCCACAAGGGCCTATTTCTGCATTGTGATTATTCATCTAAATCAATTTTCACATTTATAATGGATCTGTGACATTGAAAGAATGTCTGTCATAAATAAAGGGTCATGATTATACTGTGGAAAAATACATTTCTGATAAATTTTTATTGGTTCATAATATTTTAGAGCAACTTTTCTTTTCATTTGTGTAGAATTATTGTTTTTTTAAAGAAGCGTTCTAGCATTTCGTTTTCACCTGTACAAGAGCACTTTGATCAGATTTCTCCAAATGAGGTGAACCCATATAAGGTAATAGAGAACAGTGGATGGAGTTTCACTGAAGCAGACCTGCAAACTTTCACATAAAACACAGGACATGAGCAGATCTATAAAGATAGCAGTAACAGAAAATGAAATAAAAACAAAATAACCTTCAACAACTTAAATGATGCTTTGAGAAAGTGAATCCTTTAGCAAAGCCTCATTTACCTATCATTAGAGTTATGCATGTTATGCTAATGCATTCTTGCAGTCCACATTCTTCCAGATCAAATCCAACCACTTCTATGCCATTCAGTTTTTGCAGCTTAATTTTAATTGACAAACATAAACGGATCATATATTATGTCATAGATGTACATAAATGCCACCGCAAGTGGTCCTTGAATTGAAAGGCAGTTGGTCCTGGAAAGTCCCTAAAAGGTAGATAACAAGATGTGGGAACCTCTGTACAAGGATGTGAGCCTCATACCAAGTTGTCAGATTCCCCAGATCAAAGTTGGTTCACAGAGCCCTCATCTCAACAGAAGAGATGGATTTTGGAAATGCTGTTAGATTTTGGCTTTTTCCAAAGGTCCCCCCTAATCCCTATATAGAGCACTATATAGTGGTTAAGCCATTTTAGATGAGTGTTCGAACATCTAGGGTATAAAAAAGCAGTGGACTAGAAATTTCCCACAATGCAGCTTAATAATTGATGATCACTGGACAAGCAGATATATCCCAGATTGCCTTGCAAGAGCTCACCTTGCAAAGCATCATGGGATTTGTTGTAGGGGCAACAAATAAAAAAGATGGTGCAGGCACCGTGCGGGGAGATGGAGTTAGGTGACCAACTGGGAGTGAGAAGTATTGATCATCTGTCTGAATGGTCAGTTAACTGAGTTCACTATAAAGTCAACTATATAGTCCCAGCTCTATATAGTGATCGAGGAATTCACGGGTTAGGGTGGACGTTCAGACACAGCCTTTGTCTCACAAAGCTGCTCTCAAAGGCCAGAACATACCGAATCCGATCATTTGATCCAACAGAAAATTTTAGTTGGACTATGCAGCAATTCAGAGGTAATTTCATAGTTCTGACAGGAAAAGAGACGTTGTTTCTAAATAAGACACATCCGCTTTGGGGGAAATTACAAAAAAAAAAGATTTTAATGGCACGGCGAAATAGTAAGTTATTAGAGTTGCACATCTCATAGCCCTATATGATAAATGGGACAGACTGTGCAGAAATTATCACTAAAACATAAAAAAAAGAATACTTTGTCCATGATAGTTCAGGAGGACATTAAACAATTAAGACTCTTTAAGTCTTGCAAAAAACGAAGGAGGCATTCGCAGATGCAGATGCGCAAATGTTTCCTTGTATTGTCATTAAAATATTTTCTCTGTTTCCTTTAAATAAATATTTTAGTTAGAATATTCATTCAATAGGTTTCATCCATATGTTTGGATTGGCATTACAGGGCAGTTATGTAGGTTCTCTTTGTATTTTTCTTATATTAAAACCCTGTGAATTTAAATCTATTTTGACCCCCGAGCAGTGGTAACCAAGTGGCATATTGAAGAAATAAAGCCGAAATTGCCAAAGTAGAAAGAAGAATGTATACTGCTCAAAAAGATTATAGGAACACTTTGAAAACACATCAGATCTCAATGGGGAAAAAAATCATGCTGTTTATTTATACTGATATGGACTGGGTGATGTGTTAGGAACAAAAGGATGCCACATCCTTTTATTGAAATCAACCTACAGAGGGCTGAATTCAAAGACAAAAAATTACATCGAAAAAATGATGAGGCAGGCTAGTCCATTTTGCTGAAATGTCATTGCAGCAACTCATAATGGTATTCAGTAATTTGTATGGCCCCCACGTGTGTTTATGCATGCCTGACAACATTGGGGCATGCTCCTAATGAGACGACAGATGGCGTCCTGGGGTATCTCCTCCCAGATCTGGACCAGGGCATCACTGAGCTCCTGGACAGTCTGAGGTGCAACCTGGCGCCGTTGGATGGATGGAAACATAATGTCCCAGAGGTGTTCTATTGGATTTAGGTCAGGCAAGCGTGAGGGGGACAACCAATGGTATCAATTCCTTCATCCTCCAGGAACTGCCTGCATTCTCTCGCCATATCAGGCCGGGCATTGTCGTGCACCAGAAGGAACCCAGGATCCACAGCACCAGCATAGGGTCTGGCAATGGATGCAAGGATTTCATCCCAAAACCTAAAGGCAGTCAGGGTGCCGTTGTCTAGCCTGTATAGGTCTGTGCGTCCCTCCATGGATATGCCTCCCCAGACCATCATTGACCCACCAACAAAACAGTAATGCTGAACGATGTTACAGGCAGCATAATGTTCTCCACGGCTTCTCCAGACCCTTTCACGTCTGTGCCATGTGCTCAGGGTGAACCTGCTCTCATTTCCATGCTCTTGAGATTGTGCTGGGAGACACAGCAAACCTTCTGGCAATGGCACGTATTGATGTGCCATCCTGGAGGAGTTGGACTGCCTGTGCAACTTCTGTAGGGTCCAGGTAGCGCCTCATGCTAACAGTAGTGACAGTGACCTTAGCCAAATGCAAAACTGGGGGAAAAGATTCAGAAAAGATGAGGAGGGGAAAAAATGTCAGTGGCCTCCTCCTGTAAAACCATTCCTGTTTTGATGGTTGTTGCCCCTCTAGTGCACCTGTTGTTAATTTCATTAACACCAAAGCAGCTGAAACTGATTAACAACCCCTGCTGCTACTTACCTGACCAAATCAATATCCCAGAAGTTTAATTAACTTGATTCTATACTCTGATTACAAAGTGTTCCTTTAATTTTTTTTAAGTAGTGTATTTGTTATTTGCTATTTTGGAGCAATGAAGATTTTAATGATCTGTGTGCAATACTTAATTCATAGTAGATCATGTCTAAAACCATTATTTTATTGTACATTTTGTTAGCTTGTCTGTTATATATCATGCTATCATGCTATATTAACCAATATGATGTGTTGAACTAGATTTGCAATTTTCACAGCTTTTGTTAGACACTTTTGGATAATAAAAAAAAAAATATACCGTAAATTCTCTAATATAGGCCCGGGCCTTTATTTCACTCAAGTGCATCGCGGTCCAGGCCTTTATTGGATAGAGGCCAGAATTAGAGACAGGCCTCTATTGCTATTTGAGCAAAACAGACTACCAGTGGAATGAATAAAAATGAGATTTTGTGTCTATTTGAACCTATAAAACACTAGGTTCATTTATTGAAAAAGTACAGTTACCGTGTCTCGCTTGGTTTGAAGTAAAAAAAAAAATAAAAAATCCTCCAATTCTGTTTAATTCTCCTCCTCTTCATCTCTCCCTTTAATCTCCTCATCACTCGCGCTCCTCCTGTTCTGCTGCGTGTCTGTTCTCTTCCTCGCGCAGACGGGCAGCAGTCAGGGCCTGTCGTCCAGCTGCGCAGGGCTGTGGTACTTGTATGTTACTTACTACCACAAGTATAATGTTGAGGTATGCCCAGAAAAAACGTTTATAGCCCCGGCCTGTATTAGAGACCGGCCATTATTTACCTCCTCTGACAGCGAGACCGGCCATTATTAGAGACCCGGCCGCTATTGGAATACAGGCCAATATTAGAGAATTTACGGTATTTGAATTCTATAAATAAAAGTTTTCTGCCCAACACCAAGGATGAACTTCACAGCAGCATTCTATACCCAGCAATTGTAGTATCTATGCCAGAGTTGTCAGTCTGGTAAAGAATTTTGGAAGAATTTTGTTATTCAAAATTTTTAAGGTTAATTTTTTTTTTAAACATACAACTGACTGAAGCTAGACTAAAACCTTTTTGAGTTTTAGTCGGCTAAAACTGACTAAAACTATCACATACTGTATAGTAATGACTAAAACGCGACTAAAACAAATAATAGTTTTCGCAGTGGGATTACTCAAAAGGTGTTTATTTAAAAAAGGGACGGTGGATCTTCAGTAGCAGAGGCTATAGCGTCTAAGGCTGGAACCTCTGCAGAAGAGAAACACAGGTTAGTGACCACCATAATCTGACGGAGGATGATTATGAATGTGTGAGTCACTAACAAGGTTAAACAGTTCAGAGAACAAGGTTGATTCCAGCCGGTGGGTTGCCAACAACATGCGGTGGGCGCCGCCCAGAATATTCTAGATCCTTCAGCCCTGGAGAACATGCAGGGGCCTGAAGCTAGGTCATGCAAACAGATCTGAACAGGCAGGCTCAGAGGTCTAGGAGTTTAAAGACAGTTCAGGCAAACCATTCAAACGAGAACAGGCAGACTCAGTGGTTGAGAAGCAGAACAGGTCAGGATCTGGAAATCAGAAACACTCGGGTATGTAAAACCCCCTCTCACCACTGGCCCCTGAAAAAGAAAAACAAGATAATCTGTCTCGGATAGCTGAATGCAAGTACCTTAAATAGAGACAGGGGCAGGTGGATCAGATGAGCGGTGATTAGAAACCAGGCAGAATTAGCACGGATCAATGAAATGAATAATTAAGCCAGTCATCAGTGCCAACATCATGACAAAATTGGTCGAAAATAATTTTAAATGCCTTTATTTTGCATAAGAAATGTAATTCAAACAAGCTTTAGTTAAAAAAAAAAAAAACAATTGTTCTTCATTAAAACTATGGACTGCCGAGGCATTAAAACCAAACAACTTACAGTTAAAATACACATGTACACTTTTACAATCTGATAAAACAGGCAGAGGAATCAGAATCAAGGAGCATTACTTAATAAGCTCTTCTAAGTTAAACTATCACAGTTTATTATAAACACAATTGTACTTAATCATATTTTGAAAATCATATTTTAAAAAACAATTGTTTGTAAGAAACTGTATGAATTGTTACACACCATCTAATCACACAAAAACTGAACAAGTTAAATGTAGGAGAAAAACTTAAGTTGAAATAAAGATTAGATTTTTAATCTGTACAACTTCAATATCAACAGAGCAAGATTCAATCCCATAAGCCTTTAATAAGCCAACAATATTATCATCGTAGTACTGCTGTCAGTTTATAACAGGCTGCAAAAAAATGTTAAACATTTCTTAACTGCTTGACCAGATGGACTTCTTTGGACCAAATATCTTTCCCTAAATTATATCTGTAGGATGTTCTCTCCATCTTCTCCATAGAGCAAATATACCTACAACCAACACCACACCAAAAATCAAAGACTTCTTTCCTGTGAATTTGACCAAAATCTTGACCAAACAGCAGACTAAATCTGACTTTTTCTGCCAGGCGTTTAGCATGTTGACGGTGTAGCACCCACCATTGCTTTCTGTCACCACTTTCTCAATGGTGTTAAGCAGCTGTGTCACATGGAATCGGTTTGTTCTGGTCTCATCCTGCTGACTGTTTTTCCAGTATTTGTTATCAATGACATGGCATCTTCCCCCACATTTGTCCACCAGATCTTTCAGTCGTTGATTTTTTCTTATAAACTCCTCAATCTTCATTTCTTCTGCCAGCTGGTTGCCATGTGTGAAAACAACTGAAGAATAATTGAAAACATCTGGAGAGAAATATTCTTCTATTTTTCTGATGACCTCTGTTTCCTGTTCTGTAAATTTCTCTACTTTTAACACAATGAGAAAAACATGGGGCCCAGGGGCGCACTCTGAGACACACCTCACTATCTCTGCCTTCAGCTTCTTCTCAGACAATCCTGAATGAAAAAACCCTGGTGTGTCGACCACAGTGATGTTCCTGTCATGGACACGTTCAGTCTCCACCTGACAGTGAGTGACTTCTGAGCTGGTGAAGTGTTTGACTTTGAAGACCTCCTTCCCAAAGATGGTGTTTGCCAGGCTGCTCTTCCCAGCTCCGGTTTTCCCCAGCAGGACAATCCTCAGTGTGTCTGGCATTAAAAAAACCCCAAAACATTAGGAAATCAGCTGAAATGTATCATTTCTTTTCCTAAAAGAAACAAAAACCCTTTCAACAATTCCTAGCGTCATAAGATAACTTAAGAATACTAGAGTACAGCTCCAAACTGAAATAAAAAGGCAGTTTATCAAAATTAGCTGAGCTCTACTTTTATGCTTTCAGTCATTGTGTGTTCCAGAACTGGGCAACTTTTGAAAATGAACATATTTCCTTTTCTATAAAAACAGTTTTTTTTTTAATGTAATTACATTGCTCAGATTGTAGCAGCCACAATCTTTAATATTTGTTAAAGTTGGAGGCATATTTAAGGTTTAGAAATCTTAAATAATAAATTAATACACATGAGTGTCCTCTGCTCAGGGGATTTTGTTTCATATTCAGATTTAGGTCTGGACTTTGGACCAAATGAGTAAATTAATGTATTAATCTCTAAACAGTTCCAAAAGTGTGGGAACTGGAGGGTGAATTTCCCTGTTCCTAGTTTTCCTTTGATCAGCTCACGTGCTGATAAAAAACATCCCCACGGCATGATGCTGCCATTACCATGTTTTACCACAAGATGGTAGAAAGGGAAGTTGACACAAATACACAGCATACTTATCAAATGTTTTTTGCAAAATATTTAGAGAGATACTTTCCTTTGACTTCAATTTTCACACTAAGTTATTACCATGTTTTATTAATTTACATAAAAGCCCAGTTAAATGCACTAAAGTTTGTGATATTACAGTAGCAGTTTCTAGCACAGCAATATTTATAAAGTAACTTCTTTTAATATAATATGCCCTCAACAGGGCCGCCGATAGAAGCAAAATTGAGTAGTTTATTTTTAAGAAGAGTCGATGCACTGAAGCAGATCTGGAACTGTGCTCTCTGTACTTTCACAGTCACCTCTCTGTACTCCTGTGTTCATTTAGATACAAGAGCAAATATCCGATTTCTGTCTCAGATTGTCAACTCTGCAGTCTAACTAAAAGAAGCAAATATAACTTACCAGCCATGATAAAGCACAGGTTTTAGCTGTAAGCAGAACTTTCTGTAAAATGTTGCTGTGTTTGTCGTCTCAGGCTGTTTTCTCTCCTCTAACGTTGATCGACTGTTTAGTTTCACTTGTGCTTTGGCTTTGCTTCAGCACCACTTCCTGTAAAACGAAAGGCACAGAAAGGGCGTGACTAATAAAGAATGTGTTAAATGTGGAGTGCATTTGTTTGCTAACCAAAAATATATATGACCAGAAATGTTTGCATAGGCAGCAGGCCTACATGGAAACATAAACAACATATAGAATAATTCATTCTGACCCCCTGATCAGAAATATTCTTTTTGTCTAGATTAATATAATAAAAGTGTTTTTAAAAACAGTTAATGCTTTGAGGAAACTATTGCCCTCCCAATTGTTATTGATACAAAGATAAAGTTATAAGCAGTCAGACAAGCTTATAACTTATTTATTGTACTTTTCAAAATGATCAAATTGGTTTAGCTTGTTTAAAAGTGCAATTTATCCTGTGACCAGTCTGCTGTCAGTCCTTCTGAACTGCTGTCCATTTTGCACTTTCTGGTTCCTGCTTGTTGCTTTCTGACTTTTTTTGAACCAATTTATCTATATTTCTATGAAACAGAGAGATTAATTCTTGGGCTAGTTTACCCAAAATATCATAAAATAATTAAGTAAATAACAGAAATAAGTTTACCATTAAATTAATTTATGTTACAATTAAAAATCTATCTAAAATGAATTAAATGCTATATAAACAATTTGTTTGTTTGAAATGGAATAGATTTACTTTTACTTATTCATATTTCACATGTATGACTAGATGTAGGCTACTTATATGTATTTTACGGGGGTTTGCAGACTGTCGGTTTTTTATTTTTTGAGTCATAGGCTAAACTGTTTGGGAAGCCCTACTCTAACAAGTAATTCAGTTTGACTTTAAAATCGTTTACTTCCATTTGGGAAATATCAAACTCTATTAAAATAACAATTATGTTTTCATCTTGTAAGTTAGAATATATATCTTTATAATCTGGCAGACATGTGTGAGATGATCACTGATTTGTTGTACTTTGTCTCCTCCTAGTGAAGGGTGTCTGAAACTACAGGGAATAGGAAAAAGTTTGGTTCCAGCTTAACTTGGAGTGGGACCAAAACTATGTAAATGTGTTGAGAAGGATGTATACAATACATGAATGTATGGTAAACATAATTATATCACCATGACACATCTATATTGTCTTATTATAAATGTCTGCCCAAAGGTTTGTATCATGTTCTTATAAAACAATAAAAACGACATAGTGTCTATAATCTTAACTTGTGATATCCTTTTTTTAAAGAAAGGTTTACAGGTCCAATCGTCCAATGTTCTGGATGTTTTTTTTACTGTATGTTACAGAAATGTCTTATTTAAAAGTGGGTCACAGCTCAATTTCATGTCAATTTCATGTCAATTTCATGTCACGAGTCCATGTACTCATGTAACTTTGCAGGTAATCAAATTAATGCATGCAATACAAAATAATATCCTAAAACAGAAATGTAAAACAGCTGAAAAACATAAAGTGATTTGCATACATAAACCTCACACTTTTCATATATTTACTCGCAAAAGTATATGAAATTGTGGGACCTTGTAAAGTTCAAAACTGTACAATTCCAACTTGTGACAGAGAGGGGTTATTATGAAAGAACAACAAGCAAACTATTTTTCATGACAACTTCTTAATCTATTGATGCATGAAATGGAAATGAAATGATGACCTCCAAATGTAAAAATAACCCAGTTTAAAAGATTATACAAAAAGGAGATTATATGTAAATACGGACTTACGTAAAAATAACACCGGAATAAATATATAGCTTAGGTTTATCATAGGCTAAGAATGTTACTGGACGAGTCAACTGGCATCTCCCTGTGGCCAGTCTGGGAGAGGCCACACCAAGGGAGCCTACACTTAAGACTTAGTTTGCCATAACGGTATCAGTAACATCTTATAAAACTTAACAAGATTAACAAGATGTATTGGAGGAAGCCAAGCATGCAGCTGCACACATCTCCTGAATAGGACCCCCTCTAAGAAGTGTCCATGAGGCTGCAAGCCCTATGCTGGGAGGAGCCCAAAGACTAGCCAGGTGATGGATGACCTTGCTAGAATATGCCAAAACCGTAGCATCCACAATCCAGTGTGTAAAGAAGATGCTATGGGACTGGTTTTTCCTCATGTTGCTTAGCCCAAGACACGAACAACTGATAAGTTTTCCTAAAACCATGTTTCCTGTCTAAATAAATCTACAGTGCAAGAACTGGACACAGATTATCTAGACTTCTTTGTTCTTCTGAAGCAAAATGAGGAGGGTCAAAGGCAGTCAGCTCTGTCAGAGAGCATGAACCTAGGACTTTTTGGAACAAAGGCTGGGTAAGGTTGCAAAATAACACCTGATTCTTTGGGGAAATACTTGATACAGGCTTGATGCACAGACAGAGCATTGATTTCTCTAACTTTCTTTGCTGAAGCCAGAGCAAGAAGCAGTGATGTTCTGAGGGATAAAGACCTGAACTCAACCCAGGCCCTTCTAGGTGGGTTCAAGAATTCCATTATTTAAATCTGACCCTTTTCAAGTCGTAAAGGAAGGAGATCTTGGAAAAATGGTTCCAGGAGGCTAGGTTTTTAAACATAGACAACCATGTCTCTCCCTTCGAACCCCTCAAAACCCCGCCTTCAAAACACATGAACGTGCATGCTGTCTGCAGCACGTCTAGAGCAACAGGATGAGCTGCTGGCAGGGAGACAGGCAGCACTGATGATGCAGTGCACTATGATCACTCCTCTGAAACTGTTGACAAACGCCTAAATTAACTTAACATGTTTGCTTTTATTATCCTAGTGCCTACAGTTTGGATTACATACATGAGAAATGCCTTCCAGCCGCAGTGACAAACCGCGAGGGGGCGACCGGGCCATAGAGTGCCGTTGAATGGGATTCCTAATAACAGAGCACCGCTGGTGTGCGTCTGAGCGACTCCGACAGAAATAACATTCGAAGGCAGGATCGTAATCTGGGATGAACTGACTGCACAGAACATGTTTTCAGGTGGACTTTCTCACTTCAAAATAGATTACAACTACTTTTTACCCACTGATCACAGCAAATATAGCTGCTATTGTTACAGGTAAAGATGGGATAGGGTAGCTCAGCGTTCGCCCAACGAGCATCAGACCCACTTTTTCCACCGCGCAGCCAGAGCGGAAAATATAGGGTGACCAGATGTTCTTTTTTTCCCGGACATGTCCTACTTTTCAAACCTAAAATAAATGTCCGGGGAGAATTTCAAAATCTTGCGGGATTTTGGTCGACTACAATGCAGCAAGTAGTCGAAACAGGGAGCTGGCAGGGGACGGAGCGACCAAACCTGACCCGGTAATGGTAGCCTGGACAATGGAGGCCCCGTGCGCCCCCCTGCCTGCCTTACTGGTCCTCAGCCCCCTTCCACCGGCTGAGGACGGGCGGCTCATGGCTCTCTGTTGAGGTCTGGTCCAGTCAGCAGCCCAGCAGTTGACAATGTGTCCTTCTTTTCAGAAACCCAAATCTGGTCACCCTAGCAAAGATGCTTCAGCCGCGCATCAGAACTAAACTGGTGCAAGCATAAAAAATGAAGCAGCATGCGCATTTTTGCTGCTCTTGCAGCAGGTGTGAACGCAGCATAACAGTGGCTAGCTTCCAGCCATGGTGTCCTGCACGAGCATTGGGGGGTTGATTTGTTCATGTGACAGGGTACGCGCACAGGGGGGAGGGACAAGCAGATGACCATGATTGACATGTCAGGAACTAATCATGTATAATGGACCGTCGTTTGTGATTGGTTGAGGTTACAAATTGATTTCTCACTGCAGTGGAGACCATGTATTTTAGTTACATTTCCAGACCTTCTATTTCACTGCCTGCTGAGCAGCTGTGGGGAGATCTTTAAGCCACATGGTAAAAAATGCGTCAGAAAAGATCTCCTACTGCACCTTTAAGGAGCAAAACAACATCTCGATGACTTTTGAATAGGTTAGTTGGTGCACCTCTCTGTTCCTCCTTTCCTGGCAGACATTTCATTATAAACTCATAGACTTAAATTTTCATGTCATCGTTCCTTTGAAGCTTTTATCTAAGCATTTAGGAATGAATCATGAAAGACCTTCCATTATAATTAGAATAATTTGCTTCATATTTACTTCAGTATTGAAAATAGAAACCCAAGCCCTATTACATTATTATGTTGATGATAGAGCCTAGTCTGTTTGCTCTTGTTATGGAAAGCCAGCTTTTTGAACATATTTCTGTTAAAATAATAGACAATACTTCAAGTTCCATGCAATAAACATTTGACTTTTGAAATATATACATTTCTGCCACAGTATCTTCACTCTCCTCACTACTCCTCTTGTTGCTTGGCCCAAAGAAGAGGTTGTAACTCAGCCTTTTACTCCCTATCATGAAGAATATCAACACAGTCAAATACTTAACAGATAGAAATAAAAACAATATGCCAATTTAATCTCATAATTCAAGGAGTTTTATTAATCATTTTCAACACATTCAGTTCAAGATGTCGCATACATATCAGTTGCATAATAAATGTTGATTCACCCGATGGAAATTGACTAATGACTGGTACAGGTAGAGTTAAAGGTGTATTGGACGTTCTTTTTCTGAGTGGATCATCAAAATAAGTGGTCCTTCTAATTGTCAGTCATTCTGGGGATATGTTTACGTAAGACTGTCCTACGTACTCGTGCCCATTATTACTTCCTGCCGGTGAGGTAATGGAAAAATTTCAACTCTTCTTTTGAAAAGTGTATTTGTTTGAGCGATGCAAACAGTAACTTTTAAACAGAGTGTGCATGAAATGGGCTTGTGCATGCTCTCGCACGCATTTAATAGGTGTTCCCTCTCGGGTACAGGGTTGTGCATGTGTACCTTTTGTTTTTTTAAGTGGAGAAGGCAGGTCTTGTCAAAAATACGCGAAAATCCCTGGCTATACCTTTAAATAAACTTTGGTTGGATGTTCCCTTGCTGTCTGAGTAGCTTGCTGGCCTGAAATATTTCCTCTTGAAAATGCATGTTTTTCTCACAGTCAGCAACAACTTAAA